TTCATGTAGGTTAAAGAGGAATGACAAAGGAATAAAGCTCTAGTTGTAGACAGTAGCTAGCTAATTAACTATTAACAATACAGAGACTTCGGCTCATAGCTGTGCAGAAGGGACCGGGTGTGAGTTTGAAGAGAGGGGAGGATTTCAATTGATCGGATTTGTTTCGGTCATACACAAGCGTCAAGACTTTGCTGGTCAGAAGTAGTGAATGGTTTGCTTGCTGATCAGTACATGGGTTTAGCACAAATTTGTGACCTTCGGTTCTGTGGTGTAGTATAAAAATGTATGGAAGCAAAGAGACCCAGCATTAATGGATCTCTCTATTTAACTGACTATTACATCAAAGTTACTTTTGTGATCTGATGAGTGCATTGCTTTTGTACTTGACATTTATTCCTGAATGAAGAACTTCCTCGTATCATGAAGAATCTCTAAAAGAGTTAAAGCAACTTAAACTCTATCAGAATAAAAGGAGATTTTTTTTCTGTAATAAAACTTCGGTGATATGTACCATTTTAAAGAAAAATGAGAATGTGTTGTAACTTGTTAATGTTCTGTTTCAGTTATAGCTGAAAAATCAAAAATATCCAGCCAGATAAAACGATGTTCATACATCTCATAATTGTCATGGCTCATATTAGCTTAAACTGGCAGATAATGAATGAAGTGCTATTCAAATAATTTTAATGACCACAAGGGAGATCGTTTAGAGTGTAAAAAGGCAAATGGAAATGGTTAGATAACTTTTAACAATTTGTACCTGTGGTTCAGCTTCCAAATTTATCTTGAAAGGATGTGCTTTGCCATCTTCTGAAACCTGTGGGGACCATAATTTAGTTCCTGCCCTACGAAGAAAGGAAGATAGACTTTAATTAACTTGAATTCTGATAGATTTGTGTACATTCCTGTAAAATATAACGCAGCTTGAAAATTTCCAATTTGTTTTATATTTTTTTAATGTTTTGACATAAAAATACTGCAATGATATATAGTGTACTACATGTAAACAAAATATAAAAAGTGTACTTACTTTTTAAAAAATTACCTCCGATACTGTGAACAGTGGGAAATAATTTATTAGTAGTTACCAAATGCAAAGGGAAAGGGAAATTAGTGCCTTTCTCACCTGAGCTGACCAAATATTTTATGGTTTTGTTTTTTCAACAGTTGATAGAATGAGTATTGGGTCCTCAGAATATTTTGCATAAACAAGTGAATATATTAGTAATAATCCTAAACAAGAACAACCTCGATTTCTTTTTTTATGACTAGAATATCTATGCAAAGCCTGCTTTTCAGCATAGGAGGATTGCAATCTAGGTATGCAAAGCATACGTGCAATTGTAAATAGAAGTTGCACAGGTGACTCTTTCGGTCACTTAGGCAGAGATAGCAAACACGCAAATATCAATTACAATTCTGTTTTCATTGACAAAGTGAGACTTGGCAGCTAATTTTAAAATAGTGTAATATTAATGTTAAATATTAATCTAGTACTGTTTTGTGTTTTTTTTTTTTTTTTTAAAAAAAACCACAAATAACCAACACCCTAGCTTCTGTATTTGAAGAGAAATATCGTGGTCAAGTGTAACTAAAGTGCTGTGCCTCCTTGAGGGCCTCAGGTCAATCAGAGTTGTCTGACTCTTGGAGGCAGCTGAAGGAGTGCACTAGGTGGTTCTCATTAAAGGCTGAGTAAGTTGGGAGATGGGAAAGTGCAGGTTGTTTCTCTTGCTGACTTTAATTGAGAGAAACGAACACAAAAAGTTTCTGGACTCCGGCAGGTAAGAAAGAGGGTTTTTAGTTTAGTTTAGTTTTGGTTTTAATATTGCTTTGAGAATCCTGTATTTGGTTTAATACATTGTGACCAAAGAAGTTGGCTTTAAACCCCCTCCTTTGTTACTCCTTATGAAAGCCTGACGTGATGTTGCTTTCCTTAACCGGGAGGATTGTCTGTGATTAGGAGGCAATGGCAAACACCTGTGGCTGAGGGAGTGTTAGAGCAGAGCAGTAAACGAACAAGTGGCAGCCAGCTGAGGGTTTTGTTGTTTCGCAAAAATATGAAGAACTGTTTGTTTACTGACAGCAAACATAGGGCTTGTGGAGTCAGGAGAGGCTGGTATGGTTCACAGCTTAATGAATGTGGTGAGAAGCCTGAAGGAAGCTGTTCTTGTGCCCATGAAAGCATGTTCTGGCGAGTCTTGCCTGATCTGGAGTTGCTGAGGTAGGTCTGGGTGCTTGTGATTTTAAAGGTTTTGTAAGATTCTTAAAACTATTTAAAATAGTTATATTATATAATAGTTGTACTGTATAATCAGTTGGTTGAGTAGTATCTTCTTTCAGAAGTAAGCAGACATGTACACATACCTCTCTATTTTCAAAGCAAGCTGATGTGCAGCTGCTTTAATTCTCTCCTGGGCATCGTTATGTGTCATGTTCTCTGTGCTTAGTCCATCAATAGCTACAATAACATCCCCAGGGCACAGGTTGGCAGCTGAAGCCTTGCTTCCAGGTGTAATCTGAAAAAGCAAAATTTAACTGCTTAAGTACCATGTATACCTGAAAATTATTAGAGAAAATAAACTTCACCATGCTTTCCTATTTCCTGTGCAGTTAAGGAGGGAGGGAGTGGGCCTGTAAACAACCATATGACTGCTTACAAAGAGTGAGTTCCTAATACTGCCAGACCCTCTGTAGTTCTATTGTCAGATCACCATATAAATACTTTATTCATCGTAACTTCAAATTAGATGGAAATTCTCTTCACACTTTTGCATTAAATAGTTTCCGCTCTGACTTCTGTAGTTACTGTAATTTGTCTTTCAATCTTCTCTCTCAACTGCTATTGTGTAATTTGCTTAAAAAAAAACAGTCAAGTTTTGCCCTTACGACTCCAGGCAATAACAGAAGAGTAGAACCGTTAATTGTGCTGCTGCTTAATGTTCGTGTGCATGATGTCCCCTTGACTGGGTAATACAGAAAGCCGCTTGTGATCTTACCACATTTAAGGACAAGTACAGCAGTTAGTGTGTTTTCTGCTAGCCTGGCTTCTCATGTTGTATTGCTAAGTAATCAGAAATATGCTAATGATACTGAAATGACATTTTTATCTTTACTCACGTCTAATCCAGACCCTGAACTCCTTAAAGTGCTTAGCTTTAAGTCCATTGCATTTGATTAACAGTGGTCCTGTTATCCTTCAAGGTGATCTATATAGTGCAATTCGTACCTCACGGAAATGTGCCACTGTCAGCGACGTTCATAGAAATAGCCCTAAGTTTATCTTTCTATGCTTGTTTTATTTTGGTCTCATTGATAATCTTCTACATCATGGTTAAAATAATTGAAATGCAACATAATTCTGCTTTAAAATAACTATTATAGAGAGACCATGACCCTAGACATTACTAAAACTTGTTCTAGAATTTTAGGTTTTTATTTGCAAACAGGTGACTTCTCATACCACCCTACCATTTGCACAGGTCTTTGGTCACTGAATGGGATTTAGGTCCCGTAGGTGTGTATTGCCGTTTTAGGTGATCTTTGATAACCAAGACAGCAATGTGAAATTGATGGATGTAGCACATAAGCTTCTGGAATTCAGCTCTTCTGGATCAGCAGAACAAAGGGGACAGCTTGATTCATCTAAAATAACACTAGCTGCTTATTTTAAAGTAAACTAATCCCAGTGTGAAGGACAAAAATGTCAATATAGTCTTACTTACAAGAGCAATTCTCCCGTCTGTGCCATGTATGAAGTAAAAAACATCTACTGGAGAGAATTTTTCTCACCAGGGGTTCTGCTACAGCCAAAGCCAGTGCTATCTCTATTATTAAAAGTAATTGTTATTTCCAGAGGACTGGAAAACATGCTATTAAGATGTTCTTCAATTCTGGTATTTTCCAGCAGAGGAAGAGAATGAACTGCCCAATATACCTCCACAATGTTCTGAACCCCAGCTATGGTGAACCTGGCAGACTAGTTGACTCTGAAGGCGACAGTACTGTCTATTTGGCTAGAAATAGATGATAGACAGTACTGTCACCTTCAAATAGAAATATTATTTTTAATATGTATTGCATTGTATAAGTATTGAAACAATGGGAAAATTAGCCAGAGTCATTCTCTCCTCTTTCCTGCTGTCCGTCTCTGTTAGATGGGTCTGAATGCTTGAAGTTTGTCTTGTGGGCTTTTTTCTGCATTCCAGCAAGTAAACATTTTTGATTTCACTGTGACAAACTGCAATGCATGTGCTATTATCAAGTCAGGCAAACTTTCTGAACGAGTACTTGTGACCAGCTGGAGGCTTTTACCCTGTCACCCTCCTAAAGAACAGAATCATGTATTGTATGCCTAACAAAGCGTTGAGGTGCCCAAATAATCTGTTTGAGTATGAACTGAGGAAGCTGCACATAAATTCTAAGTCTGAAGTTTCCAAAATTGTCTATCTCTCAGTCTTTAACAGCTGTAAGTGTAAATGAACTACACTGAGACCAATTATGTTATTGTAATGAGACAGGAGTAGATATGATCGCGCTTCTCCCTTTAATCTGGATGGTTAGAGTGTTGTGGACGTGTGTGGAATGACAAACTTCAACAGAATTCCCAGCATTCAAGTGTGACTCTTGATGCTCTAACACACAAAATGGGCAAACCCAGCCATTCTTGGTTCCATCTCAAGAGCACGTTTGCTTGAATAAGCCTTATATAGGTTACTCGGTAGATGATGCTTTTTACATGTCACAACGAATCATCTGCTGTAGCTGTGGCATAGTGCAGCAACATACTGAGGTAATGATCCTGCCTTATAAAGTAGCATATCTGTGTAGCATGGTATGTTTCCCTGAAGCAGTGCTGCTAGTAGGACCTAACCTACTCTGTGTTGCTGGTAATAATGCACAATCCCGTGGAGTTTCTTAGCGTATTGTCACCAGCTGCAGTGTTTCTGCCCATGGCAGAGGAGTTGGAACTAGATCTTTAAGGTCCCTTCCAACCCAAACCATTTTATGATACCACTATATGGTTGAATGAGGTTACCATCATTTGGTGGGAGCAAGAAGGGAAACGGCCAGGTGTCCGTATTTCCTATTCCTTGGCTGGATTGATTATTGCCAGGCTTCTGGGACATGTCTGTTGCGCTTTAACGCCTCAATGAGGGTGCTGAGCTCTACGTGCCCAGGCCTTCTGGGGTGCAGAACTGCCTGCCCTCGTATAATCCTTTCCCTCATCTGCTTTTCCTGGGAGATCTGCTGCTAGGATAGGGTAGGAGGAATATGGCTAAGTGCCAGCTCTTCTCTCTTCTCAGTAGTTGAGGGGGGAAATCTTGAGTGTTGCTTATGAGGAAGGGGAGCAGACAAAAGTACTGCAGCCTACATTTTATAGAGAGAGACACCAGGTTGTGCATTGCAGGATTACACCATATCTTGGATAGAATAGTGATATTATGGGTACCTCAACAATGTAAGTGATACTGTTTCTTAAGGAACTTATTAGTGACACATTAAATGTGTATTGTGAACACTTAGAATCGTATTACAACTGTGGTGTTTGTTGCTTGCTCACCCTGGCTTCATGAGGTAGATTCTACTGATGCTTTGGGAACATTTTTGCCTTGCTCTTCAGGACATGTCTGTATGGCATACCACTTGTACCCTAGGTATCTCGGATTTGGATAGATACAAGGATGTATTGTATTTATTGTGTTGAGCATTCTGACGTTGTCAGAAACTAGGTAACTATTTAACTACCTTAGGGGCAACGTCTCCTATGAAATTTTGAAGAAAACCTCTCTGCATCTGTCAATGGACTTCAGAAGCTCATCATGGCACACCTTCCTAAATATTTCAGGCTCTGTTTTCTGAAGGAAGTTAGGAATGTCTGCAGACAGAGTGGCTAAATATAAAATTGAGTTTGTATAAATACTTGCATTGTGATCTGTAAAGATTTATATTAAAATAGGACTTAAATCTAGAGTTGATAATATTTCACCATTCCCTCTAACCTCTACAAGTTTTAATTGTTCCTGTAGCACTTAATTCAATGTGACTTAGTTTCTAGGATTGCATTCCTCCTAAATGCTTAACCCAAAATGTTATCTTCTCTTCAGAATAAACTGAAATTATTCTGTTTCATTATGACTAGGGTTTTGATCTGTTTCATTGATGTGATGTTTATGTAAAGTTCCAAGGATTTGAAAAATGTTTTCATTGCTTCTAGTTAATTTGTTGTGTCTGACCCTAATAGAATCTAAATGTGTCTATTTTTAGTTCCCTTCTGTTCTTCCCACTCTCTCAGTGATCATGATCTGTGGTTTTTGCATTTGCTTGAAACAATCAAAGCAACAGAACAAATCACAGATGTTTTTTTGCGATGACATCTGTTCTTTAGACAGGTGGATGATCAGCTCTTATGTTGTTTGTCTCGCCTGACAAGTCCTGGTAGAAGCTTTCCCTTGTTGAACAAGGACTGCAGCCAACCAAACTTAACACCTGTTCAATTATCTTATTAAAAATGTGTTTTAAAATAATTTATATTTATTGTTTTAATGGTTAACAATTTTTTTCTTTTTTGTCAGGGCAGTTAAGCCAAATGTGAACAGACTGCTGGGTGATAATTTTCACGAAAGGAACACCTAGGCGCCAAAAAGCAAGGCATGTGGATCTTGCAAAGTATCCACTACTTCTTAAGGGGCTCTGTGTGAATACTTATTAAGGGACCCTTCTAAACATATGCTGCAGCAACAAAAATATTAATTTTAAACAAATCTACTATCAATATTCTTGAACTTGAGCGAAGCAAACTTAAATGTGTAATTTTTCTCTGTATATATTTTATTTCATCGTTCTATTTGAAATGTGATTTTGAGCATTTCTCTAACATGTTAGAAACTGCTAGCTTATGTCTTGTGAGGCATTTGGTAGATATCAGTCAATTGCAAAATAATGTATTCTTTAGAAAGTTACATTTATAGTAACATCCTGTGTTATTGCAGTTTTAAACTTCATTGCACTTAATCTAAACACAAAGAAAATACAAACCAGACACGGCTAAAATATTTTTCATTAGAGATAATGGAAACTCTTTTTCTTTTGGAGACCCATAAAAGGTAATGAAGGCCCCGAAACATCCAGAGATTTTTTTTCCTTTTTATTCAATGTTTTTGTCTCCTATTTCTCCAAAGACTTTGCTATGTCCTATGAATATTTTCTATGATGTTACACACAGTCAAATAATAGCATTCTGGTTTACTTCTGATTAAAATAAATAAAATATTTTATGCTTATATAAATCTGGAATAAGTGATTAAATGAAATTAGTTTTTACTAGTATAATATGTGAAAGGTTGCTCCTTAAACTTTCTACAGAATATTGTTTAGAAGCATATTTACTGCAAGGCATCACCATTGGTATCCGTCCTTCAAGTCTCTTGACGTTTATTTAATACCAGGCATAGTGTATATATTGAGTCATAGTGCAGGGCTTTTTTTTTTTTAAAAAAAAAAAAGAACAAGGAGCATTGGTGATTTGGAGGCTCATGGAACACACACTCGGTGTGTCTGAGGTTCTGAAAAGCAGCAAAAATATGAGGAGAACTAATTCGAGTCTGACGTTCATTGAACACAATTTTCAAAATATACAAACTATCAAAATACATATCCTGTCTTTTGAGCTGTCTGTGCCTGTGGATGCAGGGCAGCTGATAGTGTTGCACATGCTCCATTCATCGCATAACTGATTTCTTAAATAAATTGCAATTAATAGCTCAAAATCTATGAAAAAATGAAGGCTTGGATTCCTTGCCCTTTGTTAGCGGGGTGAGGTAAATCATCTGTTTCTAAATATGGCAGAAAATGCCAAAGAACTATCTCCTTCGTGTTGAGGACTGGATAATTTTCTAATACTTCACTGATTTAACATTCCTGAAAGTGAAAACCTTTACACATGTAAAAGCAGGTGCTGTTGCCTTTGCTGGCAATGATCAGAACTTGAGTTACTTAAATGAGAGTCAGATTAATCTTGTAAAGTTGGCACGGAGTTTACAGAGCACAAACTTCCAGACGTGAGGAGCTGCCGCCAAGCAGCCTTCTCCCCCAGCGATCACAGAGGCCAGTCATCAAAATGATAAAAGCGGGGTCTGGCCTTTAGTAGACTCACAACTAAATGTTCTCATCTGAATGCCTGGGGAAGTCATGCCAGAGTTTTTCTGCTGCCAAGGCACTTCAGTTCAATTTTTGAGGCATAAGTAGAAATGCAGTTAAAGTCTCTTAGAGCAATGAAGCAGTCCCAGAATCGTGTCACACACAAGTTGTGAGCACTGTTAGCATTCAGCTGGCTCTCCTCGGAACTAGCAGCTACTTGCTAATCTACTCACAGCTTCGTCTGCATCTCTGAGCTCCAGAAAGGTAAAAGGTAAAAATCTGCAACAACTAATAAGTGTAATAAATAGAAAGAAAACGGAAAGAGTACATACCCTGGTTATGATTAAGGGTTGGTTAAAATCTATTCCTCCCGAGAGCCTGAATCCCCAGGGTGCCGGTCCTTGGAGAATAACGTTTTGTGGCATTCTGAACAGGACTTTTCTTGGTTCCTGTTCCTTTTCCCTTGGCTGTGGGTGAGGAGCTGAGGTGTCGGAGGAAGGGTGCTGTCAGCGGAGCACCTACTGGGCAGGGCAGCGGACCCTGTGTACCTCTTGGGAAGTTTTACTCGTCCCACAGCTGCGGGCTCTGTGCTTTATCCCTGCTCTTTGGGTGACGTCAGCCAGTCCCTCGGCTTCTCCACCCACAGAGGGGAGTATCAAACGTGGACAAATAAAGCCTGAATGCTGGAAAGTTTACAACAAATACATCAGCTTTATCTGCTGCTTCAGCGTCCCCTCAGCCCGACAATCAGTAAACTTCAGGATGCAGCGTCCTCCTGGCTTCTTACAAAAAGCCTCTTGCTCATTTGATATTGTGCCGATTAGGCTGCCAGTGCTTGTTTCAGCTATGCAATGCGCTGCTCTGACTTTGCACACGACAGTTTCATGTAAACAGAAATACTAATAAGGAGATTTCCCTTTCAAACCCCTTTTCTATGTCTTGTCTTACTTGTGATGTAGTAGTTTACTGCACTAAAAAGTTCTTCCAGCCCTTTAGCTGAGTTTTTCAGCTACAGTCACTTGAGACCGTGGCATGCACCAACTCTAATGGCTTGGATAATCTGAACTGATGTCATGCATATTTATCATACTGAGGAAGGGAAATGCAATGCAGTGTTAGTTGATGATGTCTCTTCTCTTTGTAGAAGTCTTAGCTTTCTTTAAGGTAGTTGCAGATGCCTTCTGTTGGTTGTTGGTGTTACTGAATAAATGCTTTGCATTCCTTTCAGTTTTCTTACATCAGCTTGATGAGCTTTATTCTGTCTTCCGTATCCCTTATATTTCTTTCAAAAAGAGAGGGAGAATATTTCAGTGATGGTGTACATGTTCACTCACTTTCTTATCATGTTGTTACAGACTTCTCTTTATACGTGATATTAGCAATATGAGTATGTGCACAGGTAATGTTCTGCAAGCATTTTTTTTTACCCAAAGCTTGGCCTATTTAGGATAGTATCCACAGCTCTCAACAGGCAGGATGTTGTTTGGTTTTTTTTTTAATTTATTGTGTTTTTTTCTTTTGTATTTTTTTTAAATGTATTCCCCCTCCCCTAAAAAAAAAAACCAAAACACAAAACCCAAGAGTCAACAGCAAGTCAGTGAAAGTTTGGAAAGAATAAAAACTCATGAGGATACATATTTTTGTCATAATAACCCCCTTTTGTTCACTCCATACACTTTCCTTTCTTACTATTTGTAGCCTGCTTAGAAAAGTCTCTGATGAAAAAGAAAGAGCAGTAAGTGAGATGGAAGAATAAAATACAGATTCATACCATTCATATAATTTCTGGTAAGGGTAATTTGTTTATCTATCATTTTCAATATGAAATTGGCTTCCACTTCTTTCTCTGACTTGTTGAATGTCCTTTTCTGTGTCTGCTGCTAATGTCTATATAACTGACGTCCTTCTGAATAAGATATTTTGAGTTTTGGTGGGAGTTGTGGTGGTTTTTTAGTGGCGTGAGTTTGTTTTGTTTGTTTGTTTGTTTGCAAGCACTATGAACGTTAGCTTCAGATTTTTTTTTTCTAGTGCTTGTTCTTTATTTGGGGCTTGCTAGTAGATAGTAGCATTGATCGTGCGTTTTGGTACTTGTGTTCTTACCCAGAATATTTCAAAGACCTTCTCATTAGAGTATATTTGACACCGTGATTAGAATAAAACAAATGATAGCAACTGTTTCAAAGAAAACTAACAGAAAACATATCTGTATGTAAAGGGCTTTAGTGTGACAGTTGTCATGAGCTTGTGGGGGCACAGCTTACATTAGGGATGTGAGAGAAGACAGACGTGTTTAGAGAAAAAAGGCGAGGCAGATAAGTAGTCCAGGGATATATCAATCTTGGTAGCTGAAATATTTTGTATATTTGAAGCTGAGGAAAAAACTCTCATTGATTGTGAGCAGCGTATATACTCTGATATATTCTGACATGTCTTGAGGTTGATTGAAGATATGCCTTCAATTCATCGATGCTTTATGTGTCGCATCCTGCCAGATGACGTTGTGTGTTCAAGGTCAGAATTTATCACAAAGCAGTACTTCAGTTTCTTACTTTTTTTCTTCCTCCCTGATATCTATTTTGAGTGAAGACATTCTCGGGTTTGGTACCCTTATTTTCCTGTCTTTTCTAGTGAATCCTGTGATGTTTTTTTTTTGATTTGTAGCTGGGAGCATGTAGCATATTAGATGTATTAATTTAAAGAGCTTCCTTTTTTGCATTTTCTTTGTCATTGAGTACTGGCAAGCTCAAATAATAAATCTTTCAGTCCACTTCAATAGAAAAAGATTCAGAAATATAAGAATTTCTGATCAGGTCAAACCCATGATCAGGCTCTGAGTTTCCAGTGTCAAAAATCAGATACTTGTGTAACTTGCTTACTTGAGACGTTTCTTCAAAATTCCTGTAAGTTACTGGCTTATATCTTAATATGTAGGCTTACGCTTCTTTCTTTATTTATTTTAGAAATCCCGTTGATTTAAAATCTTGCTGAGTGCTTTGACTGCTAGTGAAGTAACAATGGGGTGATCATTTAGGGACAGCTGCTAGTTGGTGAAAATAATTTGGGATTGCTTAAGTGTCTGTAAAGTTTTTTCATGTCTATTATACTCATGTGTCCCTTCTAATCTTGCCAGATACATTTAGGGGGAGGGCAGGCTTAACCTTTTTCTAGTCAGGTGATTGCTCTTAATTTCAGTGGAAGTCATATGCTTGTATGAGACTGAGCTCTGGATCAAAGGGTTTTTTTTCCTGCCTGGTTTACTGAAAGAGTGACTTGCTCTCCAAGGTGCTACTGTTCTGGACAGCAACTGCTAGATCTGGTTTTATTGATGTATCACAAGTTGAGCTTTAAGACTATTTAGTCCCCCCACCAACACTCACACTCTCTCTCTCTCTCTTTTAAAGGCAATACTGAGTTGATACTTGTGATATAAGACTATTTCCTAGTTTTTCAGTGACTGCCTTTAAGAAAGTACTTCACTCATTTACAGAGTATGTATACATTTTCTGGCACCACCTCCCCCCCCCCCCCCCACCCCACCCCCATCT